GATTCCAGATGGGAGACAAGTAGTATCTTTCCTCTCGATTGATATTATGTGGATTTTTTCATATCTCTAGAGATTCGCGGATTTTCCTGGAATAAAAGAAGGGGCTCTTAGAAATAATATGGGTTTTTTCGAACAATATGGAAGGACCGGTTTCTTGGCAGTGTTCTGCAACTGCAGAATGGGAGAAAAGACCTGATCGAATGCATCTTTGATGCTCTTGAATCCGAGTTTTGACGGAACGACCAGTTTCGCCAATATACATATGTCCACATGAACAAGGAATAGAATAGACACCACAGGAAGATAGCGGCGGTAGTGGGTCCTTAGGAGAGGATAGATATTGTGAGATTTTCTTGGGTGGTCGAAAAGTAGTCCTGATACCTTCTTTGCGAAGAATTTTGCCAATCCTATCAGTGACACTTCGAATATACGGAAGAAAAGCCACAGGAGTATTACCTAAAGATTCTGAATTTGTCGTCCTAGGGTGTAAAGGGGGATGTAGATGTCGGTGTGTAATATTTTGAATTGTGGACTTGGAGTAACCGTTGGCGACAAGGGTTTTTTGCAGATGGCCAAGTTCTTCTCTAAGGTTGTCAGGTCGTTACCTACATGCTTCATCACACCACCATCCTGCCCAAAAGAATTCTGTGATCAACTCTCTCATCCATTGGGCCATTTCGATTTCTGAACCCCTCTGGCTGCGTTAAGTAGTTGAGTTACTGTGACCTAATGCCCATCTTGGTAGTTAGTATTCGCCTCTGGTTGCGTTGAGTAACTGAGTTACCGTTGCTAACTACCCATCTTCCTGTTCTTTTGTTTTCTTTTTCTTTGTTCTGCTGAAGAAGCTACATACAATTGTAGCGAAACGTCGAGATGAACCCACTTTTGGGTCACTCACAAATGACACGGTCCAAACCCGGAAGACGAATAAACTATAAAGTAATCTAGGTTTAAGTAAACTTATAAGAAATTTTTATATCGCCCCAATATTTACAACGCAACGGTCAAAAACGTACGCCCTATTTTACTAAGTATTTACATATCATTAAACGGTGTTGAATTGTGTTTGTACAACTGGAATTAAACCCATCAGTTTATTGTTGGTGGAATAAATATGTTACAGGTGTAAAACAGGTCTAAAATATAAAATATCACACCTACATGCGACATCCATTAAATATATAACACCAAAAACCCACTAGCAATAAATGGAGCCATTGAAAATGTGCATTGATATTTAAATTGTAGAAATATAAAGGCTTGTGCGTAGTAAAATGGAAACTAAACCACAGACCCGAAACGTGACCAAGTTTTGAAGATTGTATTCTATACAAAAATTTAGAAGAACACAATCAATAGTGTAGTTTAAAGCACCAAGCAGTTCAATATGAACGCTAGCAATTTATAACTATTTTAATAATCATAAAAGATATCCAAATATACTCTGTTTTTGAGTTAGATCGCGTCGAATTTTGCTACATTAAGCTTTTATTTTTTCCATTTAAATCCTTATTATATGTCACTCTACTCTTTAAGATATAAGAAAGCATATGTGAATGGATCAAGTGAATGACTTAATACACCAGTCTGGTTAAAAAAAAGGTCAGGGTGTGTGGATCGCATAAAACAAGCAAATATTGTTTTAATTTACTTCGATTTTCTACTTTTATATGTTATATTTTTCACCCAACAGTTATCCATTCTAATGAATCAAATCATCCGAGAGACTATTACTATCGAAAAATTCTCGATTTTATTTCGAAGGCGTTCGAAAAATTCCCCGATTTAAATAATAACCCTCCGGTCTGTGAGTTTACGACAAAATAAAAATTTTGGATAATTCTCTTTTTATTTTTTTTTTAATTTCTACCTTTTCAGTACTTTCTTAGAAACTAAATACCATTCGTTTTTTTATTAAAAACTGTTTTTAAAATTTTTAAATAGCTGATGCATGATTTGTCCTGACAGATCCCAGCCGATCAAATGCGTAACAATATTTGTACTGCTTCTTAATTGTATTTTTCTTGCAATCTCGTTTCACTTGGCAACCCTGTGCATTTTTGTAAACTGGATTATTGGTTTGTTCCGAGAAAATACGTCAGTTCACCGATAAAAATTTGTTGTCTGTGCGTCAGTTATGGATTAACACTTGTTTGAAGCGGTTTATGATTGAAATCTCGAAATCTCACAAAAAAAAATAGTAAAGTATATGAAAAGTGTTTAAGAAACCTAACCATAAACTGTAACAATAAAACACTGAAAAGTTAGTTTTCAAACGTCTACAAAAATTTTATTTTAACTCTTATCACTACAGCTGGTTCGGCTGATTGCCTTTCTCAAGTGATATATTTTTGGCATGTGTTTACACTTTATAATCTTTAATGAAATATGTGGAGGAGGGAAGAACTGTTTGTCTCAAGTTGGTCATTCAGAATTATATCTGTGTTTTTTAATTTGTTGATATCCATAGATTCTAACAAGGATAGCTTAAGGCCTTTATTTTGAATGTGAAGAATTTTAAATTCGTCGTTTAAAGAATGATTGTAATCTAGAAGGTGACGTGTGTATGTAGAATCTATTTTTCTATTATTGAAAGCCCTTTTATGTTCTGCTATTCGTTTGTTAAAGTTTCTACCAGTTTGACCGATGTAAGTTTTTGGGCAGTCGCCACATTTAAGTTTGTACACACCACGGTGTAAGTGTTTTTTATTTTGGCTCTTGTTGTTTTTTATATATTTGCCTAGGTTGTTATTTGTTCGGAAAGCTGGTGTTATTTCTTTCTTTTTTATGTGTTTGGCTATTTTTTTTGTAATTTTGACTGTATATGTATGCGCACAAAAAGTACTGGGTTTTTTCTCTGGTGGTGGAAATACTAATTTAAGTATTTCTTATGCTTTCTTGTGTAGTTTTTGATTTAACATTTTATTAATTGTTTGTTCATTGTATCCGTGGTTTACTGCTATTTGCTTAATTTGCTAAATCAAAAACTACACAAGAAAGCCCTGAAATTAGTATTTTCACCACCAGAGAAAAAACCCAGTACTTTCTGTGCGACTACATATACAGTCAAAATTACAACAAAAATAGCCAAACACATAAAATAGAAAGAAATAACATCAGCTTTCCGAACAAATAACAACCTAGGCAAATATATCAAACACATCGGTCAAACACATTACATCGGTCAAACTGGTAGAAACTTTAACAAACGAATAGCAGAACATAAAAGGGCTTTCAAAAATAGAGATTCTACATACGCACTTCACCTTCTAGATTACAATCATTCTTTTAACGACGAATTTAAAATTCTTCATATTCAAAATAAAGGCCTTAAGCTATCCTTGTTAGAATCTATGGAAAGCAACAAATTAAAAAGCACAGATGTAATTCTGAATGACCAACTCGAGACAAACAATTCTCCCCTCCTCAACCTATTTCATTAGAAACTATAAAGTGTAAACACATGCCAAAAATATATCACTTGAGAAAGGCAATCAGCCGAAACCGCTATAGTGATATAAGAGTTAAAATAAAAGTTTTATGGAAGTTTGAAAACAAAGATTTTGGTGTTTCATTGTTACATAAAATGAATTTCCATCAAGTAACGGTCGAGTCTATCAACTTACCATAAATTGTTGGTTCACAGGATATGCAATTGCCAAGAAACTACTAAAAAAACACCGAGTCACCGTAATTGGTACAATTAGAGCCAACAGACGAGAATTACCTGCAGAAATAGCGCAAATTAAAAATAGACAGGTATATTCTTCAGTTTTTGCATTTAGCAACGATATAACTGCCGTATTGTATATACCGAAGAAGAAAAAAATGTGATTGCTGTTTCCACTGAGCACAGAGATGATCGGATTAATGAAGATACAGGTGATCAAAAAAAAAAACCAAAAATAATTACTGTTTATAATTCCACAAAGAGTGGAGTAGATGTTGTAGACAGAATGATTACATTATATAATGTTTTCAGAAATACAAAACGTTGTCCAATGGTAGTAGTTTACAATCTCCTTAATCTCGCAGTAATTAATGCATTTGTAATTTACAAAGGCACCAACTCAGATCAAGAATTTTCCAAAACGCGAAGATTATTCCAAAAAAACCTAGGTATGGAATTGGTACAGGAGAGTATACGACGGAGAGCAGTTGACACGCATTTGACAAAAGCTGTGCGTGCTTTGGCCTTGAGACTTTCAGGCATTGTGGTCGACGTTGTACTAGAGCCCCAGCCAGGTAGAGAGGAAATTTTAAATATTGCAAAAGACGCAAAACTCGCTTTTTTTGCAAAATTTTGCAAATCCTGGCTATGTATGGACTACATAATGGCATGTTGGAAAGATTGCTTACAAAATTTGGCCACCAAAGTTTGACCACTGTAGTTTGGGTCCGCAATTTAATTTTTTAGTTTATAACATGTTTTTTAGTACTTTGTTTTTAATTAAAATTTTTAATGTTTTTTTTTTGTTTTTTTTATTATTTAGTCGCTGTTCACAAATTTGAAAAAATATGCGTTGAAATTGTAAACATTTTTAAAATTTACATAATACAACTTAAAAAATGTTTGGAATTGTTTCTGTTATAAACAATATATATATAGTAAATGATTTGTGTAACACAGATTGATGCGAAATTAGCAATAAAATGTATGCTGTTGCTCGAAAGGCGGTTTTTCATTTTGGTCCTCACAGACCACACCCGACTGAAAGTGTTTCAGAATGGTCACCCGATGAATGCAGGAATAAGAAATAACGGCACTAGAGCATTTTTAATATAGTCAAATGTGATTGCTGAGTAAACTAATCAAATTGCTGACTCAAATATCATCTCTGTAAAATTAACGAAGTGATAGAGTAATATGCACATTCGATGAAAATGTAGAGCAAACTGAAGAATATATTTATTGTCTAAGAATGCAGAATCAATAATGTTCACCAAGATCATAAATACATGGGACGATAAAACATATGTTTTTGGATTACGTAGGAAATCTAGCACTGAAAAGTATAATACAATTAGTAGAATATAGAAAAAACATTGAATAAGCGAACAGTAGAAAAATACAATGAAGCTGAAAGATAATTTTAAAAACTAGTAAAATAAATGACCAAATATACAATTAGTTATAATAATAATTTATTTGTTTTAAGACTTTTTTTAGTTTAACGTTTAATATTTCTTCAAAAAGCATATACCTTTAAAGATTTTTTACTGTACAAATATAATTGCAGTTTTCAATGGCTCCTCTTTTGTTACTATAAAAATCATTCCTGCAAAAGCAAAAGTTAACTCATGCAAAACATTACCTGCAAGTAACGTAATTGTAACGCAGCTGGCGAGTCTCCAATAACTTCGGAAGCTTCGCGCAGAGCTCGAGAAGCCTTTTGTTCTCCTTCAGCGGCGATGACCTTGGCGCGTGCTTCACGAGCCGCTTCTGCTTCGGCGGCCATGGCTCTTTGTAGTTGAATGGGTAGACGGACATCCTTACTGAAATAGAAATAATATTAAAAACCAGTGTAACTTTTGAGCAGATTTTTTTAGTAAAAAGCACCAAACGGAATAAATCAGATCAGTATAACTTAAGATAAATGTTAGATCACTAATCACTTATTTGACTTTTTAAAAAAGAACTTTATTTGTTATAAATTAAATATTAAATAATAGCTCACGAACATCAGTACAATAACATATGAACTGGAATTCAGTAAAGACGATGAAATAACAGTACAGGAAGTCGAGAATTCAATAAGAACTCAAAAAAATTGGAAGTCATGCGGACCACAAGGTACACCAAATGAATTATTAAAACATAGCCAACAAGTATTATGGCAATTACTGGCGTATGTCTTAACCTTATTCTATAATGGACACGACTTACCATCGGAGTGGACAAAAGCACATATTAACAACATCTACAAAAAAGGAGATAGAAAAAATTGTTATAACTACAGGGGGCTAAGTGTCATAAATTCACTCTCACGACTGTATGGAAAAATAATAAAAAATAAAATTGAAAAAGAGATGACAGATGTAGAAGAACAGAATGGCTTTCGTGCAGGCAGATCCTGCATGGACAGTATATTCTCTCTAAAGCAAGTTATCGAGAAAAGATTAGCCCACACCTTTCAACTCATATAGTCTTTATAGATTTGACAAAGGCATACGATAGTGTACCACTTTCAATGCTTTGGGTAGCAATGGAAAAACAAGGAATAAGCAAAAAAATATACAAGCAGTACAACAGCTCTACAAAAATATGACGGCAAACATTAAAACAAACTTAAAATAAATTAACTAGAGAAATTCCTATTAGTAAGGGCCTAAAGCAAGGCTGCTACATAGCACCTACACTCTTCAAAATATATCTAAATGAGGCACTCTTACTGTGGAGAAGAAAGTGCTGCAATATGGGCATCCCAATCGGAGATGATATATTGTACACGATACACTTCGCTGACGACCAAGCCATTCTAGCTGAAGACGAGAGTGATATAAGCTACATGCTTAGAAAACTGGAAGATGAGTACACCAAATGGGGCCTCACAATTAATATACAAAAAACTGAGTACTTAGTTGTAGGAGAAAAACCAGAAAGCCTACAAATCGAAATGGGAACTATAAAACCAACAGACAATTTTAAGTACTTGGGAATCCAAATAACATTAAAAGCAGGAAGTAGCGAAGAAATACATTTTAGGATTCGCTAAGCAAGATCAGCCACCAGACAGCTATACGGACTATTATGGAATAAAAAAATAACAAAAGAAAATAAAAGAAGAATTTATAAAACAATAATAGAAAGTATTGGACTGTACGGCGCCGAACTCTGGGAAATAAACTAAAGAAACAAATCAAAAATTAAGGCCATAGAAATAAACTACTGGAGACGATGTTGCCAGCTCACTAGACTTGATAGGGTGAGAAACGAAGATATTCGGAGAGAAATGGAAATCGATCTAGATATAATAGACAAAATCGAAGCCAAAAGACTCAACTAGTATGGACACCTTCATAGAATGTCGGAAAACAGATGGCCAAAAAAAATAGAAGAATGAACTCCGCCAACTAGAAGAAAACGAGGTAGACCAAGACGATCCTGGAGAGACGATGTCGACGATGCAATGACCGCCAGAGATCTAATACCTGAAGACAGAAAACGCTGGAAATTAGGATGCGAGAAGCAAAATTAGGATGCGAGAAGCAAGGAAATTAGGATGTGAGAAGCGGCGCCAGCTGTAGAAGACTCGCTTGTTATATATATAATAATAGTACAAACTTAAATTAAATTAAAATGACTACAATAACTGGACTGGTCGAAGTTGCATCTAAGAGTGGCTCCTGCATCTGAAAATGGCAAATTATAGATTTGGTATGAAGTGCTGATTGTTGTTCCCATAAATATTGGCCAACGGTTCGAACAAAGTTCTTCTACTGCATGTACGTATAAATAAAGAAGGACCGGGCTATTTACATCTTTACATGAAGCCATGAGATCGTCACAGTCATAGACACAAATCCCTAATTTAACGTTGTCATATTATTTTTTTTCCAAGTCAATCTTCGAAATAATTTTTGATTTTTAGTATAATTTATAAATAAAAATGTATTATCTAGTTAGTATAAACTATTTTTAGATATACTTATTTCGCAACCAAGGAATTAAAAGAAAAATATTAATTTTTTAGTTTATTAAAAGAGAATATATTCTGATAATCTTAGCTTTATGTAAGACGTGTCATCATTGGTAATATCAACCAATCGTAGCCATTTGAGGAGAAGGAACATGGCGTTGTACTGTTTACCTTTGAGTTGATAATTTCCTGATTTGTGACATTTTAGTGAATTTGTTAATATGTTTTAAATTTGAATTGAAGAATAAATAATAGTTGAGTATCCTAATGATGCGTAACTGTGTTGTATGCAGAAAAACTGCATATTTACATAATATAACATATAATTTTTGACATGAATTGAAAGTTAATTTTGTGAAATAAAGTAATATTTGTAGTATATACATTTATTTATTTTTTCTAATCTACAATATAATTGCTATAAATATATTAATTTCAATGAAATATCATATGCACGTTCTCAGTAAAGAATCAACAACTGCTGGATATGTGGTTGTCTTAAAGAACAAGTAACCAAAACTGCTGTGGTCTTCTCAAAATGCTTTAGAAAGCATGATCTAATTATACAACCAAGTGGACGGGTTAATTTGAGGAAAGGAACTGTGCTAATAAATATTTATCATTAATCACCAGAACTAAGGTAACTATAAGAAATTTCTATGTAATTTGCCATTCATAGTATAATAAATATAATGCATACTCATAGCATATTGTTTCAGTTCTACAAACGATATGGAAAATAAAGAAACAACTTCCATTAGTATTGATATGGATGATTTTTATGGACCTTCAAAAAGATAAGTTTATATCGAATTTGTTAATTAAATTTACAAATAAATCTAAATGTGGATTTTGATTACTTATTTCATTTTATTATTAAAATTACTCACACTATTTTAGGAGAACATCTCTCCACTCCATTCACTCCACAAGCGGGAGTAACCCAAGGCTCAATACTTGCTCCAATGTTAACCACAGTCTACAATAGCGACATTCCCCGCCCACGGCAAGGATCAGAGTCTCTTCTTCTATTCGCTGACGATACAGCCATTCTCACCTCAGGCTCTTGCAGAGAGGGAGGACGACAGTCTGTATTCGAAAAATCGCAAGCCTACTTTGATAGAGTCGTGAGGTGGTGCAACAAATGGAGGATCACTTTAAACCCCTCCAAAACTAAAGTAATAGTCTTCAGACCTCCTTACGGACGCGACCTCCAGGGCCGGGTGACACTTTTGGGAGAGGACCTTATTCTCAGGAACTCAGTTCTCTACTTGGGAGTTCGTTTTACGAGAACTCTCAACTGGAAGGCTGACGTCCATGAATCTATTGATAGGATGAGAAGAAGGTTTAATCTCCTAAAAGTGCTAGCCGGAAAACTAAGAGGAACGTTCTCTAATACATTGTTGCACACCTACAAGTCTTTTGTCAGACTGATAATCGAATACAAGGCGTGCGTTTACCTCTCCCTGAAGAGTCACGAACTCAACGCTATCACTGCCACCGAGCGTAGAATTTTACGCTTCTGCATGAGAAAATATTGGCTGTATCCATCAGCCCACATATACGCACTAACTAACATGATGCCAATTAAGGACAGAATCCTAACCCTCAGTATAAAGTATGTCTTAAGAACCATAGCTGGCTTAAACAACCGAGCAAAACAAACACTAAAGACACCTTGTTCGCACAGAGGGCAAATACTTACCAGGCATCCTGTCAAAAAAGTTCCATTCCCTCCAGCTAAACTTCTACATAACGCTGGACCTGAACTTCCTGATGAGTATTTCAATATTCTTGAATCTTTCCCCATCTACTATCGCAGATAAACTGCGCGCCAAAAACGCTGATAAAGAGCCGTTTCTACCATATGGCTGGTAACTCCTGAAGTACCTTACACTGCATGCTAGGCAATTCCAACCTCTTCTTGTGCGTTTTATCGATTCTTATCGATCACACAAATAACCACCTTCTTTTCCCTCTTTTCCTTAGTAGTTCTCTACTCTTCTTAGCTCGCGTTTCGTTCAATTGACGTTTTTCTCACACCCCCTCCCCCACAACTCCGTCAAAAAAAGGAGTTCCCCATCCCTTGAAGAGGCGCAAGCCTAAACAAGGTTAAAACTTAAGAGTCACTATTTTAGTAGTTTTATTGATACTGAAGAATGTAATATAGAGACAGACTTCTCCATATGGAATTCTCCTAAATTATTAAAAAGGAGGTGAGTTTTGGCTAAATTTTGTATAAGATTATATTAATCTTAAATTTAATATGTTCCTTTAATGTATATAAATTGAATATTCTAGATGTTTAAATGACAATGAAGAAAACAAGGAAAGTATAGATATAGAAAACGCATCTTCAAGCACCATTTTTGTCATAATTCCTTGTCTTCGTCTCCCCTTCTGGATCTTGGCTTGCGAGGACCACAATAAGTAACGCAGTTATTACTTGTACTAGGGATATCCATGGGAATCTTTAATGTTATGGTTTCCCATTGCCCTTTACATCCTTATGCCGTTGACCAAGATATTGGTTCATCCAATTTCGGTACCGATTTTTCAACCCTAGGACAAAAAGGGTGCCCTATCACCCAACAATTCCTCCACCCAGAGCCTTTGATTAGCAAGTGTGGGATTGCTTATACCGGCAATCGGTCGGTGAAACTTTTGTTGCATCTGGCTACTCTCACTTATTTTAGCTGAGCAGACCAATGCAGTTGCCCGGGTGTGGCACTTGGAGCCATAAGTGAGAGTTGGGTGTCTTAAGAAGACCTGGTTTCAAAAACTATCTCCCGTCTACAACGCTCGATGTGGTCGTTCCGATAAAAAGTGCTACCTCTATAACACAACCCTACACCT